TACAAGCCAAGCCAACAGAGAACCGCACAAATGATTCCTGTAGCAAGCAGGAAAAAACAACAAATAAACCCATACATCCTTTTGTTGTTCGCCACATCTATTGAAGTACAAACACTGCTCGGAAACTATCTCTCTGTCTGTCTGTCTTTCTGTCTGTTTATCTATCTATCTATCTATCTATCTATCTATCTATCTATCTATCTATCTATCTATCTATCTATCTATCTATCTATCTATCTATCTATCTATCTATCTATCTATCTATCTATCTATCTATCTATCTGTCTGTCTGTCTGTCTTTCTGTCTGTTTATCTATCTATCTATCTATCTATCTATCTATCTATCTATCTATCTATCTATCTATCTATCTATCTATCTATCTATCTATCATCTATCTATCTATCTGTCTGTCTTTCTGTCTGTTTATCTATCTATCTATCTATCTATCTATCTATCTATCTATCTGTCTGTCTGTCTGTCTGTCTGTCTGTCTGTCTGTCTGTCTGTCTATCTATCTATCTATCTATCTATCTATCTATCTATCTATCTGTCTGTCTGTCTGTCTGTCTGTCTGTCTGTCTGTCTGTCTGTCTGTCTGTCTGTCTGTTTGTCTGTCTATCTATCTATCTATCTATCTATCTATCTATCTATCTATCTATCTATCTATCTATCTATCTATCTGTCTGTCTGTCTGTCTGTCTGTCTGTCTGTCTGTCTGTCTGTCTGTCTGTCTGTCTGTCTGTCTGTCTGTCTGTCTGTCTGTCTGTCTATCTATCTATCTATCTATCTATCTATCTATCTATCTATCTATCTATCTATCTATCTATCTATCTATCTGTCTGTCTGTCTGTCTGTCTGTCTGTCTGTCTGTCTGTCTGTCTATCTATCTATCTATCAATCTGTCTGTCTGTCTATCTATCTGTTTGTCTGTCTGTCTATCTATCTATAGATCTGTCTATCTATCTATCTATCTATCTATCTATCTATCTATCTATCTATCTATCTATCTATCTATCTGTTTGTCTGTCTGTTTGTCTATCTATCTATAGATCTGTCTGTATCTATCTATCTATCTATCTATCTATTAGGGCTGTAGCGATACACTAATCTCACGATACGATACGATACACGATATTCAGCTCACGATACGATATATATCACGATATTCAGCCAACGATACGATTCGATATAATTCGATACACTTACATCATTTTCTGAAAGATTTAAAGGGGACAGAGTGATTTTGGTGACATCTTGTGAGTGTTCCATTTACTTTGATTGAATTAATTGAACTGAAAACTAAAAACATCAATTACACAATATATGTCTCTGACTGGACAGAGCTACAGCTTGCAAATACTGGACAAAATGAATTAAAGATGTGTTGAGAAAATTAGTTCCATTTATTGAAACAATTCAAACTGTAGCTTGCAAGTCTTTGAAAAGTAAATAAAGTGCAGTATTGTAATTAACAATGTAGAGTTAAAAAGTGCAAATAAAGTTTTGAGAAAAAAGGTTTTATAAAAAGATAAACCTCACATATTTCAGCCTTTTATAAAAAGAATGAGTCAAAAAAGATAAATTACTGACATGATTTACAATGCACATTAGCTTATCATTTATTATTAATAGTAAAATTCGGTCCGATTTTCCCGTGGCGTCTGTCGTTGCTAAGCAACCATTAACTGCGCTCTCCACAACGACAAAGAACGAGGTTTTAGTAGCTAATTGATTTCCACCACCGAAAAACGCTTGCTGTAGCTCTGCTCTGCTACAAGATTTATTTACGGAGCAGAGAAAAACACCCGTAGTGTTTGGGTGCACCCCCATCCTTCATGTTGGCCGAGCTTTTAATGTTCTTATGGAAAGGGTGAAACTGATGGTTGGTTATCACATGAACTGCGGTGCGCTTGCGCCATTCTGAAAAGTTGAGGTGTTTTCATCTCGCTGCGCCTAGAGAAAATGAGCGCGTCGCTTCAATTATGAGCGCGCTTTCCGCGCGCCTACATTTGAAATAACGAACTTGAGCGCGCAAAAGACACGATGTGTGAACGGCCAATTGACGAGCCAAGTTAAACACGGGGGATTTGAATGGGACTTAAATATCGATACTCGCTGCTTAAATATCGATAGCCTACTATCTTGGGGGGAAAAATATCGATTTATTTCGCAGAATCGATAAAATCGCCCACCCCTATCTATCTATCTATCTATCTATCTATCTATCTATCTATCTATCTATCTATCTATCTATCTATCTATCTATCTATCTATCTATCTATCTATCTATCTATCTATCTGGCTCTCTGTCTGTCTGTCTGTCTGTCTGTCTGTCTGTCTGTCTGTCTGTCTATCTATCTATCTATCTGTCTGTCTGTCTGTCTGTCATCTATCTATCTATCTATCTATCTATCTATCTATCTATCTATCTATCTATCTATCTATCTATCTATCTATCTATCGTCTGCCTCTCTGTCTATCTATCTGTCTGTCTATCCGTTCCGTCCGTCATCTATCTATCTATCTATCTATCTATCTATCTATCTATCTATCTATCTATCTATCTATCTATCTATCTATCTATCTATCTATCTATCTATCTATCTATCTATCTATCTATCTATCGTCTGCCTCTCTGTCTATCTATCTGTCTGTCTATCCGTCCGTCCGTCATCTATCTATCCATCTATCTATCTATCTATCCATCTATTCATCTATGTCTGTCTGTCTGTCTGTCTGTCCCTGAGTTAAACTTAAGAATGCATCAGTCTGATTTGTGAACAAATCCTTCAGACTGGTTGTGTAAACTGGATCAACTGATTCATTGAAAATATTTGAGTCATAAGAACAATTCCTTCATGAATTGGACATTCATTTAGTGAACTATTCCTTTAAATTTCATTGCTACTGGTGCAGAAATGAACACACACATTCACATACAACTCATGTGTGCTTGGGTCTGGGTGAAGCGTCCTAATTAAAAGGAGGGAGGTAAAGGGCTGCAGCTTTGGCCCGTTTCACAGCTCTTGTGGCCTCTTCCTCCCCTCTGCCGAGTGTGTAAACAATAACAGTGGCCGCTCTGAAAGGACACAGGTGTCAACCATTGTGTGCTATTTGAAAAGCATGGCGAGAAAGGGGTTAGGAGGCTAGAGGGTGGGCTAACACACCCTTTCCATCTAACTACAAACACCCCCTCCAGCGTCTACCCTCCGCTTGACTAGCACTGTCCACACTGAACAGGACATCTGGGTCCAGAACAACAGCGGTACTGTTTCTAGATTCAGATGTAATTTGGGGACACTGGGGGTCTTTTTAGAAAGTAGAAAAGTTGGATTTTAAGCCATTAAATGTGAAATACTACTTTTAAGTGTTTATGTTGTTTCTTAAAATTAGTTTTAAAGATGTTTGGATAATTTGGAGATATAATAGAACAGACTGAGATCAGTTCCTAATTAGACAGACAGCGTGTTGACTTGAGAATGGACAAGTTTTTGTGAACAAATCATTCAAACCATTTTTGTGAAGAGAATCAACTGATTATTGAAAAGATCTAAACAGTTATTTTATGAAGCATGCTACTTCTTTCCTGAGATAGATAGATAGATAGATAGATAGATAGATAGATAGATAGATAGATAGATAGATAGATAGATAGATTGATAGATAGTTTTGCAGTTCATGTTCATGGTGATGCAGGACAGGGTGGGGGATTTATTGCTCAGCATTAGGAGCTCTAATCTGTTGCAGGTGTTACTGGCTGCTATCCCAGGCAGCCGGGCCTGCGCCTTCCCCCTGGAGGCCCCATCATGAGTGTGTATGCGGGCATGTGTGGGTGTGTGTCTGAGAAAGAAGGGGAAAGTGTGAGTAAAAAAGAGATAGCATATGCGTAATGCTTAAGGCAGTGCACATTAAGTAGGAGGCGGTTCTGGCTTTGATTTTTCCTCTTAAACCCAGTCAAGTACATGAGAATTGATACAGCCTGGCATAATTTCAGCTCATCTAGCTCTTCGGTGAATTCAGTATATTATGACCCAATTTGTAATTGCAGGGAATTAAAATGGAGCCTCTTTCTAATGAAGGACTCACTCAAAAGAGAAAAGTCTTTATCTTGATTCTTGGCGGTCATACAATAAATCCACCTACTGGTCAAATCTTGAATGGGGAACACGTGCACTAACGATTGTTTTATGTCGCTCGCTACTATCAAGAGTCTGCTGCCCTCTTCCGGACATATTGTGCTACAACATTCAAAGTAAATAGCGTTAAGCTTGAGGAAAAGAAAATAACCCTCATATACAGAGGAGAGGTTTAATGTAACTTAATGATATGTTATAGTTTCGAATCAGTGTAATAGCTATTAAAGTTACCACAAAGTATCTTTGTTTCGTATTCGCGGCTTTTTTCTGATTTGCATTTACTGTAGCCTAGGCTACGGGCCAAAAACAGACAGCGCGCGCCACTTATTTTTCTTAAACATCATAATATTCATTATCTTGCAAGCTCTAAATGTTGAATTTTATCAGCAATAAAACTCAAGCGGCACGCATTTAGTGTAACGTCTTTATTGTCAAGTATGATAGCAGATTTTCGCGTCGGCAATAGGTCAGGTAGTCACTGATAAGAAAACATGAGGTAAGTTCAGAGTGCTTTACAGTCATGGAGAAAAACCAGGGAATGTTTCAGACGATACAAACTATTTCTTAGAGCTTCTTCCAAAAAAGGGCACACGGTTTTCAACAGACACGGTAAAATCGACAAGTTTATAAACACTTTTAATCCTCACAGCAGCAATAATCCCTTGATAATGTAGCCTACTATAAAACACTTTAATCTATCGTTAATAGTCTAAATTTCACAACAGGTTCTCAAAAGTTTTATTCTAAGTCAGTTACATAAAAAAAAGTAGATTAGTCTAATTTGATAATGAAACGTAAGGCTGGCAACCCCTTACCAACTGCTAGTTGGTCATAGTTGTTAAGTCTTAACTAATGGCTATGTTTATGCAACTGTCACCAGGGCTTGTTGTTTCATAGCTCATGCACTCACTAATGCATTTCTCCACACATGGATTTCAAAGGAACTGTCAGCTTTCAGTAATTAGTTCCGTATTAACTTATGGTTATGGATCATATGTGTAGGAATTTTGAATTGCCAGATCTCTGAAGTAGGGGAACCAATCCCTGAAGAGACAGGCGTAGAAGGTGTACCAGGGGTAAAATGCCTCAGGCTGTCGAGATGCTCCAGCTTCGATAATGTGCCGGGCAGACTCATGTGCAGGGTAGCCGGTCATATTGATGTAACCTCTATTAAACACATAAGAGACACGAAGAATGAACCTTTTATCTGGAACATGAGCTGTCATGTGATATAGATTGTTACAAAACTATGAGTTACACAAGTAAGTGAACAACCGCTATTTATGACTTTATGTCTGGCCATTTGTTCTTTGGTATCTTAACCAGTACTGAGCAAGCACTAGGTAAAAGCTTTTAATTGTCATTTATTAGCATTAAGAACCCAAGACTTTGATGTTAGTTTGTTCTCACTTGATTTTCTCCATAGCACTATCTGTGTCAATCAGTCCAAGTATGCAGATGGTTATGGACACATTGCTTTTTTGCATTGCTAGCTCATGCTGGAGGCCTCCAAAGAAACCGTTGAGTGCAAACTTAGTTGCGGCATATGGTAAAGCGAAGGGGCTGCACATTTTCCCTGTGAAAAACAGTTAGATGTTATTTCAGCATTTGTTCGTTGGTTGAAGCAGCAAGAGCTGTGAGAAAAGTTTAATATTTTAATCACCTAGAAGGGAGGAAACAACAACTATCGATCCTTTACTCTTTTCAAGTGTCGGCAAAGCTTTCTGAGCCATCTGTAGGTAACTGAGAAAATTCACCTATAAGAGAGTGTATGATGAATGAAAGACAAATCAAGTCATATATTTCAGTTAGTTTGACCATATGGGATTAAAAGTAACAGGTATAGTTCACCCAAATATTACCATTAAGACTTGATGTGTCATATTTGAGTATACAGTCTGAATGAGATTTGAGAGCTACAGTGATTCTTTTAATTAATTAGTTATTACATTACTATTAATGGTAATTTTACAGTAGGCCTATTTCATTTTTGGTCCCTATTCGCTTTCATTGTATGAAAAAGAGCAGTCAGGACATTATGCGAACTATCTTCTTGTGTGTTCCACAGACCAAAGAAAATCATACAGGTTTGAAACAATATGAGGGTGAGTAAATAATAATAGAAATCTCATATTTGGGATGAACTATGCTTTTATGAAAACCTTTTTTTTTTCATTGTGATTCTACACCTGTAGCAGCCATCGCGTGTGCTCTACGTCTCCATTCCACATACTGTATGGACTGGGCCCAATGTGGTTCAGAACCAGGAAATCCAGCCCCCCGAGCTGTTCGATGGCGTACTGTACCACGCGCTCGGCATCGGACGGGCTCGCCATGTCCGCGGGGATGAAAAAGGCCTTTTGAGCCCCCATTTCCTGGCACTTGCGCACAACCTGCAGTCAGAGGAAGCATTTTGAAACAATCATACCTCCTTGAATTAAATGTAAATGATGAACGAAAGAAGTAAAGCTCATTGACCTCTTCTAGGACATTTCCTCTCCTCGCCGTGATAACGAGTTGGGCTCCTAAACGGGCGTATTGGTACGCCAACTGCTCGCCGATGCCAGTGCTGGCACCGGTCACCAACACCCGGGCACCTTTCAAAGACTCTAACAAGACACAAATCACATTTTCATGTTGACTAAATATCATTACATAAAATGCCTCATAATGGTGTACTTAATGTTCATGGTTGTAAAGGTCAAATTATAAAACCAGCTTTCTATGCTTTTTAGGTTATCGCAATTTCAGTTTGTTAGAAGATTTTATATGTGGCCATTTCCCATTAGTCATGGCCATTGGGTAAAAAAAGTTATATTAAACTTTTTCAATAGTCTCTCTGTATTATGACAAACAGTCTGCGGTAGCAGTAATTATTTTGAGGGCAAAACGAGGTCCTTTGTACAGCCGTTAACCTGCGGGGCAGAGACGCTTAATTGTATAAATGTCACTGTAGGCTGCAAAATAAAAGCCTGAAATGATTCTTGGAGGGATGTTCGGTAACTGTATTCAATATTTATACATATATGAGCAAATATGTGGTGATGTGTTGTGGCATTTTTGTCTGAATAGTCATGTTGATACTGATAGCAATCAAATATTGGCATTTGTAGAAATCTATTACACGAGTTGCCAATTGGAGAAAATCAATTTTCAATTAGATGAAGAGCAATAATCAACTATATTAAAACTGTTATGAATGTGCCAGTTCATTTCGGTTTACAAAGTTCATGCAGTTGTATCATGTTTCATTCTTTAACACACTCACCCACTTACTTACACATAAAGTAATAAAATAACATTATGCATTGCATAAGCAACTGTTCAGATAATTTTTGTTATCTTGCCTTGCGCAACACAGAGCTGATTTTAATATCTCAAAGTGACAAAATAAAATGATGAATGGCATTTTACTTTTCATGTTTTAATTCTGACTGATGTACTTTCCTGACAGTTAATATATATAAATATATATATATATTTTTTTACTGATGTCAAACTCCAAACTTTTCTACAGTATATTATTGGACAAATATCACATTTCTGAGAGCTTACTTGAGTTTTGAGGAACATATTAAAAACATTTAAAGGAACCATTTTTTTTTATTATTATTATTTCAGAATTAATATTATTTGACCGCATACAAGAAAGAGAACAGACAATATTAACAGAAAGGTATAGCCTACTATATAAAATATTAGTCTCCAAAAGTGCAAATAGCTATTTACTCTAATTACCTGCAATAGCCTATAACTACCTAGCTACTATTAAACGCACAAATATTGCTACAAAAAAAGGAAGACAAAAACATTTCTTCCTCCTAAATCCTGGACTGACTTATCATGGGTCTTGCACATGACTTTAATCTGGTATTACACAGGCTATAGCCAACGATTACATTTTATTACAGCACAGATAAACAAAAAGGCGTCCGTTCAACTCACCCTCATTAAACGACGTAGCACTCCATCGAACCGCAATGAAAGCGACGCCTATGCTGCACAGTAACAGTAACTTGGCATAAAGATTCATTTGTGAAAAATTGTAGAAGATGCCACAGAACAGCTTACAGAAATGTGAACTTGAACCGATCAACTGTCAAAAGTCAGTCGACATAACCAAAGAACCTGCAGAACCAGATCGTGTCAGACAGGCGGAGCCAAACCAAAGTACAATCCGATTTAAGTGTGGCGTTTAAATAATCTTGAGAGCAACAAACGCGCTAGTAGCCTACTACTGCTGGTGTATTAACAATTATTTTAAGTTTTGTTGTCATTATTATTTAAAACATTTTTGTGTGTGTTTATAAAAGAAAAAAAGAAAACAGATCGGCTAGAAAATAAAAACCGAAAATCACGATTAAGGATTAATTTTCTGTAAACTCTGCATGGCTAAACTATTGAGTTACTTATTAGATTTGACATTGACGTTGTTAGGGCTTGGAAAGAGATTCCGTTAACATAAAACCACAATATTACATTAAAAAAATGTTTCTTAATGATTAATACGATTAATAATAATGAGACAGCGGCTGACAGCAAGTGCATGGCGGCACATTCAACAAATAAATTAAACCAAGTCGTTTATTATTAATATTAACACTAACAATCGTGTGCTTTTATTTATTTATTTTTTTGTATTTATTTACTTTTTTTTTATTACAGAAACACAAATAACATGTATATACATCCGACGTTTATTTAGTCGAATCTGCGGATTGCGAACGTCTCAGCCATTCAAAACCAACTTTATTGCCTCCAGTCCAGTTCATTCCACTGGTGCAAATGCCCTTGTCAGTGGAATTCGCTGTCAAGTAGAGCAACATAATTAGTGAAGTTGAGTTTTTGTTTCACAGTTTTGCACTTTTTAGCATACTGTTGCTTTTAAGACCATGGCTGCCAAGATTTTGCCTGTAGTCAAGTAAGTTAAGTGTCATTGCGTTGTTGTATATGGAGCTAATTAGCAGTTAGCTTTCAAGTGTCTGTTTGGGCTTAAGAGTTATGTTGGTTGGCATATTTTGTGCATTATTATTTTCGATAGTTTTCTATATATCTATAATACTTGTAAATTAAATTAGCATGCATTTGAGTAGCTGTGTTCATTTTTACATAGTAGGTTAAGGATAGCTAGCGTGCTAACAAACAACTTCTCAATGTGGCTTTTTGACTTCGAATGACAGAATGGTTATGTATATCTTAGGTTTGCCACAAAAGTGACCATTGCAGGAGGAGCCCTATATGTGGCATATGATTCGGGACTTCTTGGAGGTAGCGAGGAGGGATCTGTTGCCTTGGGCCGAGCTAAAGCAGCCATCCCACCAGCTGTGGAGGAGTGGATGAAGTACTTTGGCTTTGAGGTACGAAAAGTACTGAAACTGAACGTATAACTGAAAGTGGAGTCTGTGACATTCAGTGCAGTGTAAAGGTATATAAAGAACGTCAGATGACACCAACTAAACCTCACCAGGCATTTATTTACAAAGATGTGACCGCAGGGAAAGAATAAATTGACTTACTATTTAAAAATTTAGGATTGGTAAATTGGTGTTTAAAAAAAAAATACTTCAATTCAGCAAGAACACATTAAATTGATCAAAAGTGACAGCAAAAACTTTAATAATCCTACAAAAAAGATAAGTTATACAACAGTAGTATAACCTTTCGATGATTGCTTCTCAAATTTCCATGAGGTCTAAAACGCTTATCCATTAAAGATGGGACAGTACTAGTGATGGGCATTTTTGTCAATTTCTTATTTTGATCATTGATAGGTCTCAAAAAACAATCACTCGGGGGGCAGGGCTTGTTCGGGCGTGTCCGTCATGGAGACATAGAAATCAATTTAATATTTTAGCAATATTTTGGATTACATTAGCACTTTCTGATAGAACAAAATGTTATTTTACAGTATATTGACTAAAATTACACTTAATTCAGAGTAAAACTGACTTAAATTACTGAAAAACACATGATTGATGAATTCTGAATACAATATAAAGGATATGTTCATCATCATAAAAATGAATACACATGATACGTTTAGGCTACTTTATTCAACAGTAAATAAAACGTTCTCTTCAGTGTCAAGCTACTTCAGCAGCATATTTCAACTGTGCTTATGAAACAAAAACAAAAATGAACAGCTTAGTTTTCATTTAACAAGTGTAACAAACGACTTCTATGTGTAAATAAAACAGACGGAATCATTTATTAAAACAAACACAAAAAAAACCCCCATCCTGTATAGGCCTATTTGCCACGACTGATGAAACTTAACTATAGGCTACAGCCTACATATTTATTTTTGTTCAAAAAGATAAGTTGGTCTACGTGCTCAGGTAAGAGGCGTGTGCGGAGTCTATTCACAATTAGCCTGGCGGTGGAAAAAACGCGCTTCGCAGGAACAGCTAGGTACCACTGGGCAATGATGCTCAGCTTTGTAAACTGATTTACCTTCCACCACAGTAGAGGGTCCTGGTTTACAGAGATGCATGGCTCACTGAAGTAGCGTTCAATTTCAGTGTCACGCGAACAAAAATCACTCGCGCCAGTGCCGTAATCCTTACCGAAATCATCAAATCTTTAAACCCTTCTCCTTCGACGAAACGAATGGGCAGCAAATCTTTCGCTATCATTTCGGTGATTAGTTGTGTCATCTTTTCACCTCTGGCTGCGGTGCACTCGTCTGAGTTGCGTCTTTGGTGGTATCGGAAGACATTTTATGTACAAATACTAAGTGATAACGCATTGTACTTGTGGTAGATTTGTGTGACAGCTTGGCGCTGCATATTTTGCACTGAACAGTTTTTTCGTCTATTTTGTCGAAGTGAAGCCAGACATCACTACGTGACTTTGAAGCCATTTTCTCTGTTTTTCAGTTTGGGACTTTGGACCGCGTTCTGTCAACGCTAACCAATCAGAGCTCAATGTCCCACCCAAAATGCTGCTATAACCAATCAGAAAAAAATCAGATCATCGATTTTATGATCGACCGTCGCTGTCACGTTCGAGTACTCGAGTGATCGAGTACTGTGCCCATCCCTAGACAGTACCCACTTTATTTGGACCTACTTGATCCTCAGAATCACAACCTGTTAGTATGATAAATTATTGACGTATATATTTTCTACCGGCTGGTAAAAATACACAGTTTTGTGTTTTATATTGTGTAAGTTTCTGGCTAACTCTCGTTATAACTCTCTTACTGAAAATAGTAATACTTGTGCAAATTAGCTGTGCGAACATATGCACTGTTATTTATACAGTTCCCGCATTTGCTCAACAATACATTTGAAATATACACATCGGTTTGTGTTGCGTCTGGCCAATCAAAGCAGAGTAGGAAAAGAGGGATTTAGAGGGTCTGAATCATCGGACGAGTCGTTGGCGAATCTTTGAATAATGTGATGTATATAATGAGAAATTGCGAGTTTTATTTTTATTTTTTATTTTTTTACCTTTAATGTACGGCTGTCGTGAAGGAATTTCCCTTGCTGTAATTTTAAGTGGCTCAATAGCACAATATGCGGTATTATCGCCATTTATTTGTTTATTTTGATTTATTTGTTGCTATTTAAATAAGTGTTACTATGTGGTAAGCATGCACAAAAGCGAGGACATATTCAGTAACCAATGTAACCGAAACTAAACAGCGTCAAAATAAGGGTCCACATAACAGAACATAATCCTGACAATAAGCTCGTTAGGCTATTTTAACATGTATAACACTTAGTTCTGATAAGAGGATTTCTGCTGATATTTCACCAGTATCATCGTCTTCATCTCTGCGCATAGACAGGCTGTTACACAGCGCGCAGTTACATTGTTAAGCCACTAGGTGACGGCAAGGGACTGTCTTTGAGTGTTTCATTAAACCGTTCATTCAACGAACATGTTCAAAAACACTGATTCATTAAAAGATCGATGTAATAAAACAGGGTGTTGATTATTTTAACTTTGAGCTCCACTTTTCAAAGCTCAGCTGACCAGCAATACGTCGCATGGGTAACGCTGAAGCTTCACTTAAGGCGGGCGTACACGGTGCGAATTCTGACGGTCGGAAGATCGTATGTCCACGCACACTTTACGAGTGAGTTTATCCGAAAATCGTACGGAGGCAGTGATATACGACACGATTTTACGACCTGCTGAATTCCGAAGAAATCGCACGAAGTTCCGCGCCAAAAACTCTCTCATAACGGCATATAAAATATTGATACAAGGCGTGATTATTTTGCTACATATACTCGTTTTCAGCACCGGGAAACGGACGTCCGGTCACCCTTGTGTGTGTGTGTGTGAATGAGTTAAAAAACATAGTTACGGTAGGCTACACATTCAAAAATAAAATTTCAAGCTCTCTGAATGATTAATTAGCCGTTTAAACCACCTCATCATGTTGAGTGTTTGCAATTCATTTTGCTGCGAGAAGCTATAGCGCAGTGAACGGGGCTTGAGTGAGCTTGAGCGCGTTGTGAGTGAGATCGCGGGTGCCAGATCCCGTGTTGCCAGATCCACATAATGGAAAGGTGACAGTAGTATTCCGGACTTGTTTTTTGGATTAATGTCACAGTTTAGAAGTTATTAAAGTGGTTCGTGATATATTAATCTTATTTCCAAAACACAAGCTTTGAACTTATTTCGGATTTTTTATAATTTCTTTGTTTTTGTTTGTTTTTGCTTGTTTTTCGTAGCAATATCTGGCAACATTGTTCTGTCGGCATTAATAAAAAAAAGATTAGGCTGAAGATACAAACGTAATGATCATCGTGACGTGTAAGAATCTGTAAGAAATGTATAACACTATCAAAAACAATAGCATAATACAGATCTGTATGTTACAGAATGAAATATGCCAAATACTGGCCAGCAGGAACACGGCAGATGCTGTTTAGTTAACCTTTCACAAAGTCAACATAAAAACATTAATTGAAGCAGTGTTTCTAGTAGTCCACACCATTTTCGTCTTTCTTCTGTGGATTTTCTCAGTTTCTGATTGGTCAAATTCGGATAGATCGACAAATCGGCTCATTCAACCGCACACACCTCACGAATGCAAGCCGACAGCTCCCGAACTTTTTCGACATGCTTAAAAATTATCGGGAGGTCGAGAGGTGCTCGGCTCGGCTCGTATCTTCCTCGCACACGATACGAGCCGGGACATGCGAGCATAACCGATTTACACGCGATTTCTCCCGAGTGAAAAAATCATCTGCGAGCTTGTAAAACAGCTAAAAATCGCACCGTGTACGCCCGCCTTTAATAGAGACCAATGGCATTGATTCAATCCATTGACCAGCGCTGACACCATTCATGGTAAATACCCTTACACGTTAAAAGGATGACAAATATTTCGCTTTCCTTGGACACGGCAACCTATTTACGAATATATATAACTTGACCTCAAAGACAGATGCAGGTAATCGCAGGCGCTCAGTATCGGTACTACTACAATATTGCGGTTATCGCAACAGCCCTACTTTGATTGCATGTAAACCTGTTTTAGGAGACAAAATTAGAAACCTTTAAAGTCCCTGTAAAGGCAATTTCAAAAAAAAATTCTAAACACATTATAAATGTTAGAAATGTATTGCTAAAACATATTACAAAGACTGTGAACTGTGAAGTACTGAATTGTGGAGTTAGACCGTTAAACAGTTTTTCACCATTGCTATTTTCCGGATTTTCTGGGCGGGGCTAAAACAGGGCTCGATGACGCACTGGAGCCCTTGAGCTCCTGGACAACGCCCCTACTTGATGACGCACTGAGGCCACTGAGGCTGGCCGCTCCTAACAATATTATAGAGCACATTCACATCAGTTTGCCGCTCAATCGCGAGTTACTGTCAGTACTATTATTAGTAACACAGCCAACAGATTGCTAGCTACTAGCTATGCCTTCGTCACGGAAATGCGTACTACCTGGATGCGATCACCGGATCACGTACAAAACAGATCGGTGTCCTTATTTAAATTTCCGAAAAACGATTACATCAAGAAGAAGTGGATTAATTTTGTGAAGAGCCACCTTTGATGGAGAGCTGAGGATCACCGCCAAAACCCGCCTCTGTAAGTGATCATTTTACACTGGATAGTTTTATAAACTTTCGTCGGAGATAACTGTCTGGGATTCACTGATAATCCGCTGTTACTGGTGAATGGGGCCGAACCGACTCCCGCCTCAGCCTTCATCCTCCCGTCGCGCCGACAACTGGTGCCATTCGGCAGTGCGTGCCCACCGTGCGAGCATCCATTCCGGCTGTAGAGTTGAGTGTGGCGAGTCGACGGCAGCTTAAGCTTTCCCGCGAGTGGGCGTGGTTTCAGCGCAGCCAGTGGACACGCCCCCAGCGTTTGAGAGCAGAGATTACTGCTCATTTTTTCAAGATTTTGATAGCTTATTTTATGTACTTGCTGGCTTTTTTTATCATTCAAATTTGGCTGGGTGACTAATAACACATTTTTCTGTGGTGTGACAAACTCAAAACACATACTTAATTTTGACTTTACAGGGACTTTTAAAATAGCATAATAGTGGTACTTTAAAGCATACAAGAATGATTTCTGAAGGATCATGTGACACTGAAGACTGGAGTAATGATGCTGAAAATACAGCTTTGCCATTGTAGCACTCGTCTGCAGTAATTTAGTAGACTTTTTATATTACTGTTATAATACAGATAAAATTTGAATTCCGTCAGAAGAATCAGGGATCGCTAAGGAGACAGCGGGTTATCATGAGTAGTAACAGACAGACACAAGATTGATTTAGAAATGGAAATATAATTGATTTTTTCCTTCGCAGGGAAAAAAGATAGAAAGTTAATAAAATAAAATAAAGTAAATTACAAGATCACATACAATAGACAATAAAACAGATAATGGAAATATCCCCCACGAGTGCACTCTTGTCGGTGTTCTCAAATATATACCCACATAAGTAGTAAACAGAGAATAAACAAATAGGAAAATAATCTCTCTCTCAAGACCTTCGAGTATCTCTCGTAAAAGTTCCAATGTCTCTCAAATCTGGGTTGTGGTTGACCATAAACCTTCAAAAAGAAAATAGTTCTTAAATGTCAACTTTGTCGTGCTTCAACGAGTAGCACTGGAAACTCAAGGAAAGGATATCGGCCTCCTCTCCACGAAGTGATGTCTTCTGCCTTTCTCTAAACTTGGTTGGCTCGCCATCAAACACAGAATCTACAGGATGTCACAGAAGGTTGTGCAGTCATCATGTCTCCACGAAATCAAGAAGAAAAGAAAAAACAAAGGAGAGAGAAAAAAAACCTGGCCTGATCACAGACCAGAACATTCATTTAGTACATTTCAAAATAAGTTCCACATTAAAGGTCCAGAATAATATCTAATACACAGTTACAATCACCATTTCTTCATGAAATAATATAATCACATTCGTTTACCTCTGAATCAATAGCTCTTTTTCTTATACAGACACGTGGCCAACAATGGCGACGGTGAACTCTGAAATGAACAAATAATAACCCCGCGGTTCACTATAACCGCTCAAACTGAAGTAATCACATAACCAGTAACATACAAATATCTTTTTCACAGAATTGATTGATTAATTATTTACCTTTGTGATCGATCTTTTTCGTTTGCTCTCACACAGCGCACCTCAACTACAGACGTGCGCGATCAGAAAATGGCGTCGGTGAACTGCAATGTATAATGAGCACGCGGTTCACTTTAGACATTTATGACTACTCGGATCAAAATACAATCTTTACGAGAAAAACCCAGTCCACAGCAACTAATTTACGGTTTAGTAGCAGTAATTCTATCTTATTATGAGGTAACACAGTCTTTTTATCATTAATTATATGATACTAACTCACCAAGTAGAATGTATTCCTCAATTCAGTCGGCTTCTTATTCAGAATGAATCAAACTAATTAATTCTCAAGGTTTCTCGTATTATTTCAAAGATTTTCAATCAAAGATTTATAAAAACGGATCACGACGATCAGATTGCGTCTGCTCTTCTCAATCAAGCTCGTCTCTTCTGTCATCGCGCATGCTCGTTGACGCCCATGGAGCAAATGACAAAGAGCTCTCATTGGTTGATCACCATCTTTTATCTAAAATGAATTCGCAAATTTATTTATTTTATATTCTTAACTTTTACATCTCTTATCGACTTTTATTAAGGGAACAGGATATCACTAAATTGTGTATAAATGAAATAATTACTTTTATTTAACCTGTTACACCATCACAAGAAAAAAATACATTTTAAAATGCATTCAAATAGAATATATATTTCACAATATTACTGTTTCAAGCCACTTTGTTATAACGTATTTAATGCAATATTTCAGCTTCCAGCCACGCCTAAAATTGAGTTCTCCCCACTGAACGCATGGAACTCAGGTAAACAATCGTTTATTTGGTGGAAAATGTTTTCATATGCGTGTATTAAAATATCAAATAATTTATCATCACATATATGAGTATACTCTAGTCTTGTAATCGCTCTGTTTTTTCACTCAGGGGTCCAGAAGTCTATTCACGCTCTATCGGTTGCTCCATCCACAGTTAGTGACTACACCAAACAAGGCCTGCAATACGCTAAAAAACATTTAAAATGAGCATTTAGACCTTCAAAGTTTCAGCATCTGAGAAGACACACATCAAGAAGCTTTTTCACCCTCATATACGCCGGACTGAATTCCATTAAGTTTTGAGGAACAACATTTAGAGTTTGTAAAATTCAAATATGAATATTACAATGGTAAAAATTCACTTGTTTTACGCATGCGCTTTTCAGTTACAGAAATAACAGAAACATAGTTTTGAGATGAATCCAAATTTAAAGATAATAATACAAGAGTGTTCTATATGTATATTGTTGTTGGACTTTTATTTATTTGAGAAATCCCTTCCTGGAAATGCTCTTTTCTGGCATTGATTCACCAAAATTCACCTTTAATATTGACACAAATGCAGTTTTGTATAGTTTATAATCCCGTGTTGCTTTGTCTAATGTAAAATAAATCATGTCAAATATTTTGATGGATGGAGTTCTTCTGTGTAATTGTGTGTTTTTTTTTTTTAAACATTGTTTACAAGACTATGGGAGTTAATCTCGGAAACGATCTGTTGACCACATAAAAGCACAAGTTAGTAACACTATTCAGCTTTACCACAGAGTGATGCTGCATTTGTGTCAAGATGGACCCCAACCATTTTCTGCACGTCTTTACTCATTTTGAAAGTTTTCTGTGGCCGCATACGTTTTATTACCAGAACATGTAAGAGAACTTATTGTGCGTGGAAAAACAATACAGGGTTTGTGGGTTGTGTGTGCATTATGGCCTACATAGTTGAGCAGAGATCTGTTTAAACTTAAGGAAATACAACGAATGATGAGAACTTTTTCAGAAGCAGTTTCCTTTTTCTTTCAACCTGCCTAATGCACTAACAACGTTTTTGTGACCATCCCCCCCCCAGTCTGTTTAAAAAGACTGTTGTGTAACTTCTAGGATGTGGTGATGGCTGTGAACTTTAGCTGTGGTTGAGTATCAAACAGCCCCTGAAAGGTTTCGTTCTCTGTGAAGTGGCACTTTAGAAATAAAGAATTGCAGAGTTATTGCTTATAGAGTTTTTATTGCTCTTTTCTTGAAACATTTTGACAGGTAGCATTCACCTCAACATAAAATCTAAGTTTAGCAAACTGCACAATATAATTCAGTGTTAAAGGCATCAGGCACCTCCATTGATCACCTTCTTGATCCAGACTGTGTATTTTGAAATTTGAGTGTAAATATTGGGAACATTTGGGTAGTCGCAGCGACCCATGTTGAAAGAGACGATGCCCACCGCTTTCCCACTGCACACTAGTGGTCCACCTGAATCACCCTGCAAGACAATGCATTTCAGATTGATAACCAACTGAGTTCAGAAGTAAATAGAATAGCAAATTATGAAATTTCACCAAAATATTGTTGTAGACGGACCTGACAAGCGCCACTTTTAGTCTCGAAACCTCCAGCGCACAAGACATTGTCTGGGAGTTTTACTTGCACTTTTTCCCACATCGTCTTGCAGATTGTGAAGTTGATAGTCAACACGTCTGTGACCAGCAGATCGTTCACCACATTATGCTGTTCGGTTTTACCCCATCCAGCAACCTGACACTTGGATTTAGGCTTCAGTGGTTTTTCCTTGCTCGGGATTTTGATGGTTTTCACACCTTTGGCTTTCAGCTTCTTGGACAGCTAGAATTCCACACAAGAAATGTGCAGTCTTCATGATTACCATTAGATGAATTACTTTTAATACACATACAATTAGAGTTAAAGTATAAATGTATCTATTATTATTTTTATTATTATTATTAAAAATAATGTTTTTATTCATGAAATATTGTACCTTCAGAAGCATGATGTCATTGCCAGCTTTCACGTTTTTGAAAGATGGGTGCTTATGTTTATTTTGCACTGTATATCTTCTCAGCTTCGCCCCTTGTGGACTGATGTTGTGGGTGCCCAGGACCACAGTCATGTTGCCACTTTAACATTAACACAATTGCAGATTACAGTGAACAGTTTTGTTGAACACCAAACATATCCCAGTTTAACAGTAGACTAACTATCATATTACCTTTTATCGCAGTGTGCGGCCGTGAGCACGTAGCTCGGGTCGATCAGGAATCCTCCACATCTGTGTTGTCCTTCAATCTGAACTGATGCCATGTAAAGCATGGAGGAATTCTTGGCTTTTTTGCCATTGATGATATCAGCTCCAAATGTACCTAAACCAATCAAGATGCAAGTTTGAGTTAACCAGAAGCAGTTCAGTTATTATTGTATTATCAGTAAAGCATGATTTTTACTAACCAGTCAGTGTCAAGCTTGTCAAAGCCACTGAGAGCAACAGGCTGTACGCTGTAGTCATCTTGATAAGACTGAAGATTGCTAATGGGACCACCAGTCATTTATATAGGTCTTTACCACATAACACGACACATCCTGACAGACAGAGATGACGCAAAATGTTGAATTTGCCACCTATTGCATAGTGTGGCAGTCCTTGAATACAAGATCTTGTCCAGTATATTTTGGTAAAACTAATGCCTTTCAGGCGGGGACGTATTAACGCAGACTAACCTCTGTTCAGTGGGTAATGCAAATATTTTCTGATTATTCTTTTTCTACAGTACTAGTGTTACTGGATGAAGGTTTTCAAATATAAGACAATTGACGAGCGCACAGCGCCCATGACGGACTAATCTTATATCTCCCCTCCCTACTTCAGTTTCAGTTCTAAACTCACACCACACCGGCGTTGTGCCGAACTCTCGTTGAGTCCGCTACCTGGTTGCCTAATCCTAACCCTAACCCCACTCCCACACCTAATCCTAAATTTACTTATACTGGGGACTCAGGGGAGTAATAATCTGGCAGTGGTCAGAATTGAGCACAACACCTCTCACCTGTGCCGGGGAGCGCTTGTTTTCTAAACTGGTGCTTGTCACGAACAGGAACTGTTAATCTGACAATGCTCAATGTCATTGGGTCAGAGCACTGTCAATCACAGCCTAATCTGCTGCCCATTGTTGCCTGTAAATTTGACAATGCTCAACACAATTGGATCAGAGCCCTACCAATGCTTTGGCAATGTAAAGCCTTTTTGTCAATAAAGCTACTTGAATCTGCATTTGTCAGTCGCTGATTGATTGCTATGCTGCTTTTCAAATGGAGAGAGACCACAGACAAAGTCTCTTTCAAGGAAAGTCTGTTCACTCTGCGGCCATATTAGCAACGCCTCTGGGGCATCCAAGACCAAGTCCTATCTATTGGAATGGGGGAATCCTGAAATCTCAAAAAGTGCTTGCTGAACTCACAATTAAGTAACATTTTAAATCAGCAACATAATCTGGCACGCACTGTCCTATGTTGTTTCATAGGCTCAAACTGTGTTAAAAAAAAGCTTAATTTCCAGGCTAGACCAGCCAATGCACGTGTAGTCCTAAGTGCGAGCCTCAGGTTCTAACCAGCCCGTTCTCATCCCAAGGCGTCATTCATGTGACGCTTTGGACATTTCGTCGAAATCTTACGCACATGGCGTCCTTTAGCGTCAATATGAGACGCAAATCCCAAGGCGTCATAACCGTAACCCTACCCCAGACCTAAACCTACCCATAACAGTGCGTGTTATGTTGACGCTAAAGGATGCCATGTGCGTAAGATTTCGACGAAATGTCATATGGTGTCACCTATATGACGCCAAAGGATGAGAATGTGTTGGTTCTAACGGCAGCTGCAGTGATGCAATAACTTTGCAAATCAGCGATTGGCTTTATTTTAAAGAAGGCAGGATGTATTCTGTTCAGGCTTGCTGCGATACTCTGTCTTACTGGTGTTACACGATGTTCAGCCGCAACACCGGTTACATCACTTGGCCACCACTGCACCGCCCCACCATCATTCTGATTTTTTATAGTAATAAAAATCATTTAGTTAAGTTAGAGAACAGACTCTACAATAAAAAACTGAACACGTCTGCTCAATGCAGCTCGAGTCACTGCACAGATCAGCAGCAGGAGACAGATTTCACTTATCACGTGGCGGAAGATTTGGTTCCAAAAAAAAATGTAAAAGCGCCTCTTTGGCAATATTTTGGATTTGAACCCAATGCTAATAGGGAACCTGCAAAGGGTTAGTTGGTTTTCTAGTTTTGGTTTTCATTAAGAATAATAGGCTGATAAACCCACCATTCAAACAATTGCTGTCCCTGAATTGCCGATATTTCGAAAGTAAAATGTGATCAGTCACAGGTGAAGCAAATATCATTGATCATCTAACAAGGCCACGTATTAAGGTCTGGGTAGATTAGATGTTAAATAAACAATCAGTTCTCAAAATCAATGTGTTGGATGCAGGAGAAATGGGCAGGAACAAAGATCTCAGTGACTTTGACAAGGGCCAAATTGTAATGGCAAGGCGACTGACTAGGTCTGAGTATCTCTGAAATGCAAGTGTTGCTCCCAGTCAACAGTGGTGCGAGGATGGACAAACCAAAAACCGACGACAGGGTGTTGGAAGCCCGAGGGTCATCAATGCACAAGGACGACAAAGGCCATCCTGTCTGGTGTATTCAAACAGAAGGTCTACTGTGGCACAAGTCACACAAAATCTTATGGGATTGTTATGGGAGGAATGTGTCACAACACACAGTGTATCACAGTCTGCTGCGTATGGGGCTGCGTAGCTGTAGAATAATCAAAGTGCCTATGATGACGCCTGTCCACCATCGAAAGTGCCTACAATGGGCACGTCAGAACTGGACCTTGGAGCAGTAGAAGAAGGTCACCATGCCCGACAATTCCCATTGTCTTTTACATCACGTGGACGGCCGTGTAGTACATGTGCGCCGTTTACCTAGGAAAGTGATGCACTGTGAGACGATGAAAAGCCGCTGGAGGGAGTGTGATGCTCTGGGCAAAGTTCTGTTGGGACACCCTGTTGTAACATTGTTGCAGACCAGGTACCCTGGTCTCCTTCAGCAGGATAATGCACTCTGGCACACTGCACACATTGTTCAAGAATGGTTTGAGGAACATGATGAAGAGTTTAAGGTGTTGCCCTGGCCTTCAAATTCCCCAGATCTCAATCCAATTGAGCATCGATAGGATGTGCTGAACCGACAAGATCAATCCTCAATAGCTCCACCTCGCAACCTACAGAACTTGAAGGATCTGCTGCTAACGTATTGGTGCCAGAGACCACAGGACACCTTCAGGGGTCTTGTCCATGCCTCGGCGAGTCAGTGCTGTTTTGACAGCACGCTGTGGACCAGCAGCATATTAGGCAGTCATGTTTTGGATTATTGGTGTATATCATCTAATATGACAAGGCTTAAGCTAGTACCAGACTAAAATGCATGTTTGAGCTGGGTTAACCTAAAAGCAACTTGCACTGACTTAAAAGATGTCAGTGCCATTGTTTTGTCTCAAAATGCACAACAGTAATGTTTTTTTTTTCTAAAGCACGTTTATGGAAAATTGTAAAAATACAGCAGCCGCACACTCAAAGCACGTTTATAAAAGCCACTTAAATGCTCCAATCAAACTAAGGCCTAATCCTGGCTCACTATGTTTGAAACCGGGCATTTACCTAGTTTTAAGCACATCACGTCTTATTTATATTATGATTTTTGGCCTGTCCCACTTTTGAAGTCTTGGCCATCTCGACTGTAATAAATAATTTTGGCTAAATTTGCAACCGTTACTTGCAACCCTATAAATATATCTTCCTAGAAAATTCAAATCAAACAAATGCGTTTTAAACTGTATTTAGATTTCCAAATTTTGTTTTGGAAATCTAAATCTAACATTTCCAAATGTTATCAATTAACCTTTTATGAATGCCAAACTCCTCCGTTCATTGTCTTTTTGTTTAAAGGAAAAACGACTTCATTATTTTAAGAGTTCTAGGATATTTTGTAACCTATTGAAGGAAAATAACATTTCAAACCAAAGATTTCAGTCAGGTTTAATATGCTGTCCATCCCTAGTTTGTTATGTCTGTGTATGAATGCATTATTTCTCTAAGTTAACCCATATTATACACACAAGCAGCTCATACAAAGGTTTTTCTGCATGCATAGTTTGCCATTGTGAAAATACAGACTCAGTCAGTAGCAAAACAATTTATTTGGTCAGTATTGTATGTTTAATCATAATTTGCAAAATACAGTAAGCATGAAACTCTTAACAGTCTTTAATGTCAATCATTGAGTTGATTCAACGTGCGTTTTCACCCTCATATATGTCGGACTGAATCACATTAAGTTTTGAGGAACAACAATTAAAGTTTGTAAAATGTAAGATTATGAAGATTATAATGGTATAAACCAAAAATTTCCACTTTATTTTTGTTTTACGCAATTGTGCTCTTTGGTTGCAGAAATAACAAAAAAAATAATCTTGAAGTTGTAAAGCTTCGAGGTGAATCCTTATTTGAAGATAAAAATATAAACGTGTTCGATATGGATATTGTTATCCAGTTCTTTTATTTATTTATGAAATATCTTCCTGGAAATGGAATCTGAAATGCCAAAATCTTTTCTGGCATTGATTCACCAAAATTCACCTTTCATATAGTCACAAATGGAGTTTTGTATAGTTTATAATCCCGTGTTGCTTTGTCTAATGTAAAATAAATCATGTCAAATCTTTTGATGGAGTTCTTCTGAGTAAATGTATTTTTTAAACATTGTTTACAAGACTATGGGAGTTAATCTCGGAAACGATCTGTTGACCACATAAAAGCACAAGTTAGTAACACTATTCAGCTTTACCACAGAGTGATGCTGCATTTGTGTCAAGATGGACCCCAACCATTTACTGCACGTCTTTACTCATTTTGAAAGTTTTCTGTGGCCGCATACGTTTTATTACCAGAACATGTTAGAAATTATTGTGCGTGGAAAAAAATACAGGGTTTGTGGGTTGTGTGTGCATTATGACATAGTCGAGCAGAGATCTGTTTAAACCTAAGGAAATACAACGAATGATGAGAACTTTCCTGTAGAGTAAGTAATGTGGCAGCAAATGCACGTTCTGAAGCAAACATGCCTCATGCACCAACAAGATCTTTGTGACCATCTAAGAAACAGCAAAATGATACTGAATGACCTCTGACAACACAACACCACCCTGCACAACAATACAATTCAGTGTTAAAGGCATCAGGCACCTCCATTGATCACCTTCTTGATCCAGACTGTGTATTTTGAAATTTGAGTGTAAATATTGGGAACATTTGGGTAGTCGCAGCGATCCAAAGAGACGATGCCCACCGCTTTCCCACTGCACACTAGCGGTCCACCCAAATCGCCCTGCAATAATATGTTTGATATTCATTACAATCACATCGTTGAGTTCAGAAGAATAGACTTACAAATTATGAACTTTCACCAAAATAGAAGTACCTGGCAAGCGCCACTTTTAGTCTTGGAGCCTCCAGCGCACAGAGTGTTTTCTGGGAGTTTTACTTGCACTTTTTCCCACATCGTCTTGCAGATTGTGAAGTTGATGGTCAACACGTCTGTGACCAGCAGATCGTTCACCACATTATGCTGTTCGGTTTTACCCCATCCAGCAACCTGACACTTGGATTTAGGCTTCAGTGGTTTGTCATTGCTCGGGATTTTGATGATTTTCACACCTTTGGCTTTCAGCTTCTTGGACAGCTAGAATTCCACACAAGAAAAGTGCAGTCTTCATGATTACCATTAGTTACCATGTTACTGTTATTAAAATTCCTTACTTTATAATTAATATATAATGTATAATTTAAAGTATTTAGTATATTATTTAATTATCATTATCATATAATGTTATAAGTAAATTCTAAAATAAAATGCAATAATTAAAATACAAATTAAAATGTTATATTTACTTTATAATACAATTTATTAATATTTAATTCTAAAGTGAAAATAAACATCTATATATATGTTTATATTATGAAATGGAAAATTAAATATGTGTTCTTATTAAATTCTAAAATATAAATTGGAAATTAAATATTGTAATTTAATTTTACAATGTAATAATAATAATACATATTAAACATTTGTTTTAATGGTAAACAAAATAAAGAAATGTTTTAAATATATTTTATTACTATACATTTATTTTAATTATAAACAAAGTAATATAAATTAAATAGTTTAATTGTATTTAAATTATGACCTCTTAATAATTATTATTATATTTTATAAAACATTTGAATTTATTAATGAAATATTGTACCTTCAGAAGCATGATGTCATTGCCAGCTTTCACGTTTTTGAAAGATGGGTGCTTATGTTTATTTTGCACTGTATATCTTCTCAGATTCGCCCCTTGTGGACTGATGTTGTGGGTGCCCAGGACCACAGTCATGTTGCCTCTTTAACATTAACACAATTGCAGATTACAGTGAACAGTTTTGTTGAACACCAAACATATCCCAGTTTAACAGTAGACTGACTATCATATTACCTTTTATCGCAGTGTGCGGCCGTGAGCACGTAGCTCGGGTCGATCAGGAATCCTCCACATCTGTGTTGTCCTTCAATCTGAACTGATGCCATGTAAAGCATGGAGCTCTTCTTGGCTTTTTTGCCATTGATGATATCAGCTCCAAATGTACCTAAACCAATCAAGATGCAAGTTTGAGTTAACCAGAAGCAGTTCAGTTATTATTGTATTATCAGTAAAGCATGATTTTACTAACTAGTCAGTGTCAAGCTTGTCAAAGCCACTGAGAGCAACAGGCTGTACGCTGTAGTCATCTTGGTATAAGACGCTGCTAATGAGACCACCAGTCATTTATATAGGTCTTTACCACATAACACGACACATCCTCCTGACAGACAGAGATGATGCAAAATGCTGAACTTGCCACCTATTGTTTAGTGTGCTACAAAAACTTTAGCTTTCCTTGAATGCAAGATCTTCTCCAGCATATATTGGTAAAACTATGGGGAAAACTCAATTTATGGGTTCCTGTGATCTTCTGGTTTGATTTAACCCTGTTTCCTTTTTTAAACTCCAAGTCATGGCTTATTGTGAATGTGTAGTAGAATTTGCCAGATTTTACACAGCAGAGAACATGCGATTGCATGTGGCATTTTGAATAGGGTACAGACTAGTGTCCCACTACTTTATTTAATGCATTAGATGTACACGTCCTATGTTTTTTTTGTTGTGCAAATATTAGATAAGTTCGATTTATTTCATTTAGTACAAAATATTAGCTAGTTTTAAACACATCGAATGTCTGATTTATGGTAACTTTGGCCTGTCCCAACTTTGAGGTGTATTCAGTGTTCCTACCCTATATATATCTCTGTAGAAAAACAATGGTAACGCTTCCTTTTACAGTCCTGTTACCCATGTACTTACTATGTACTTATTATAGTAATTATAAAACTGGGTAATAACTAGGTACTAACCCTGAACCTACCCCTAAACCTACCCCTAATCCATGTACTTACCTTATATTAGACCGTCGAACCCTCTAGCCAGTACTTTCTAGGTAAGTACACTGTAAGTACACGCAAGTACTGTACTGTAAAAGGAAGCGCTACCAAAAAAATCACACAAATAGAGTTTTAAACTGTATTTAGATTCCCAAATATTAGTATTGTCATAAATGTTGACAAATCAACTTTTTCTGAATGATAAACACCTTTTTGTTGAAAAAGAAAAATGACTTAATTATTTTAGGAGTTCCAAGTTTCTTGTACCCTATTGATGGAAAATGGAATTTCAAATGTTTATTTCAGACCAAATTTTTCAGTCACAGCCAGGTTGAAGATGTATTGTGTCTGTGTATGAATGCATTATTTATCTAAAGTGATCTACACGCAAGCACAGACATGTTGAGGTAGTTTTTGAGCAAAACATTTTATTCATTCAGTGTTGTAAGCATAATTTGCAACATACAGTGAACATGAAATTCTTACATTTCTTTCTTGTTCATCCTTACTTTTATCCATCGTGCATGTTTTGAAATATCAGTTTATATTTTGGTACATCAGGATATTCGCATCCCTTTATGCTGAAGAAGGCGGTGCCCACCATTGAATTGCACACCAACGGTCGGACCTCCTGGATCTCCTTGCAAGAATATATGCAAAGATGGGGTTAAAAGAGAAGGGCAATAGAATCCCTAATCTAAAAACCTACAATATGGCAATTTATGTTCTGTATGTATTCCTTCCAAGCTTCCTTGCAGTTGTGGATGTCAACAGTTGATACACTCAGGCCAGAAGTTCATTAACTGCTTTACTAACCCTAACCCTAACCCTAACCCTTTAGGCCTGATTTACTCTACTCTTCTTCAAGAACAGAGTCATCTCTTTACTGGAATCGAATACAACACAGGAAGTCAAACACACACATTTACTCATTCTAATGTCATTTGACTTCCAGTGGAACCAAAGATCAGACATTCTAAATAGTTTTTCTTTCCATTTAATGGTGAACATTGCTCATAAAAGGCAGGACAGTAAAGTCATTATTCACAGAACATCTTCCCCTTCAGTGAGCTGTTGACTTGATAACCACTGCAACCAAATCAGTGAGTCAATGGGCCCTATTTTAACGATCTAAGCGCATGGTCTAAAGCGTGTGGCGCAAGTGCATAAGGCATGCCCAAAATCACTTTTGCTAGTTTAACGATGGGAAAAATGGTCGGCACACCCGACGCATGGTTTAAAAGGGTTGTCCCTATTCTCTTAATGAGTAATGGGTATGTTTTGAGTGTAACATGAAATGAACCAACCAGAGTCTCATCTCCCATTACCTTTAAAAGCCAGTTGCACTCACGCCATGCTGAATTAGCTATATTTACATCGCGAAAAAAAAAAAAAAAACCTATTTCAGTTGCCTCAAAACAGCAACGTGCCAACAATGCCCCTGAACACACCTCGTTTTCAGACCTGCACGCCCATGGGCGAACAGATGGGTGCAAATGCATTTGCTATTTAAACAACGTGGCGCAGGACGTGAAAATGATAACTGCGTTGGGCTGAAACTAGCAAAAAACGCGGATGTATGATAGGGCTCAATGATTTAAACTTGGACCAGATCAGTTAATTGATGATTATTTTGAGCCAGTTCTTTTTTAATAACCGCTTGGTATGATTCACAAATCGGACTGAACAATTTATTCACAAATTGCTTAATGATCCGCTTACAGCAGATTTCTTGAGGAAAGCTCACTGGAGGAAAGATTTTCACTGAATAATTACTTGCATTTTGGCCGGTTCTTCACACAAAGCTATCTTTCCACAGAAGAAAGAAAATCATTTGAGTTTGCAACAAACTGACAAATGTTTGGGTTAACTATTTCTCGGTTAGCTATGTTGTAAAAACTGTGTGTACAAATTGTATTTACCTTTCACAGTGTGCAGCTGTAGGCACATATTAGAAATCCTCCACATTCATGTTTTTTTCTGACCTGCACCAATACCATATATTGCAGATCTTTTTTTTAAGCTTTTTCCCATCGATTATGTCATCAAAAAATAACTATACACTTAAAAAAAAAAGTCCCTGTAATGGCACTGGTGCAATGTGTAAAGGTCAAGCATTACTAATGAAAGAAGCTAACTGTGATGTGCAGTGTGAATCACAGCCGTGGCGAGCAGAATCGCAGTGAAGCGCCTCATTGTGCTTGTGGTATGTGCAAAATGTGTCACTGCCTTTTTACTACTCAAAGTACAAGGTCAGGCATCCCTTCTCAGAAAACCACAGTTCTGCATTTCTTGGATGTTTCTTCTGTTATTTATATATAATCAAATGTAAATAGTTATGTTAAAACATTTTTCCCAGTTTAAAGGGATAATTCAGCCAAACAATGATTGAACCCCAACCCCATTTGCATTGTTCATTGTATGGAAAAAAAGTGAGCGAGTAAATGACATTTTCCCTTTAATACTATAAATATTTTTTTAGGTTGATTTCCCTTGAAAGTACAAACACTGTGGCTTTTTTTTTAGGTGCTTCCAGTAAGAATAGACCTTTTCTAATCTATGGTGATGAGTCTCATTACTTTTGCACAGTCATCGGGTTTTCTATTTAAGATGTCTTTGCAAACTATAGAGTGTTTCTGACAGGGTGTCTGACCACATGCGATGCGATCAGCCCCCCACAGGAAACCAAGCCTGCTGAGAAGGGTCGAGACCATCTTTCCACTGAAAAGTGTCACATCTGATCAACATGTCAAATCATAAAATCTCCATAAATCCACACAGAGTTCAATAGAGTATTCTTGTTAGAAAATAAAATGTTTATTAATCAAGATTTTGCTTCACACCTCCCAAAATACATTTTATCCAAGGCAGAAATTTGGAAATCTTGGTGTAGACATTGGGTAATGTAGGGGAGTTACATTTCTTTGGCTGATTGAATGAAACGATACCAACTGCGACTTTTTTACACACCAAAGGTCCTCCAGAATCACCCTGAGAAGTGGGGAAAGTTACAAACTGTGAATAAAATTGAACTGTTACACTATTTATGATGTCTCCAGAATATACTTTGTACCTGACAAAATCCTCCACGACCCCCTGCGCACACCATCCTTGAGGTGGAGTACTGCTTCCCCCAGTACTTCTGACATGCTTTTTTATCAAAGATTGTGACATCAGCCTCCATAAGTTTATCACTTGCTGCACCATTGGTGGTTATTTTCCCCCATCCGGCAACACTGCATTGGGCCTTGGCCTTGATGTCCTGATCTTTCTTTGGTATGGAGATCCAGTCAACTTTGTTGGTCTTGTTGACCTTTATACGCAGCTACATCAAGTAATTCAATCATTAATGCTGATAATTTTCAAAATGAATATAAATGATAAACTTAACCTAATTATTTTATGAGGATAATGGGAATATGTGCTAGTACTTTGCAATTGCTACATACATCAATAAGCCAAAATATTATGACCACCTGCCTCAGAATTTTGTATAGCATATAGTTAAGAATTAAATAGTTTTCTTGCAGTTTGCCCTGAAAAATCTAGCTGAATCATTTACCTGAAGTAGCATGATGTCATTTAGCAGACTCTTAGACTCATACCCAGGGTGGATGTGGTAGAACTTGACTTCCATGCGGCTAGTACCATGATTGTGATCATGAGCTCCAACCATGACTGTCAGCTTCTCTCCTCTGTCAAGACGAGGAAGAATACATGCGTTTTAGTTTTAAACGAGGACTGCTCAAAATTGAGTTATGCATTTTAGGCTTGACCTGCAGTATAATAACATGAATTTAGAACCATATTGTAATAGAAAACTTTGTTATGATGCTTCCATTACAAAGCCACAAATATTTAGGTCAACTTTAGTTTGGTAACTTTGGTTAAGATGGTTAAGTATAAACACATTTTGGGTTCAAACTAATTGGCAGACTACCTTTATGTGTACCCACTAGGTTGGGTACTATCATATATCATTTCGAAAATAGTCACACCAAGTGAAGACCCTTTTGAGACTCTTTGACTCACAACGAAATTCTAGCTGAAAAAAAAAAACTTACTCTGTAAAGCAGTGTGCAGCCGTCATGACAAACTGTTCAGACACAAGGAAGCCACCGCATTTGTGTTTGTTATTTCTTTGAATGGAGACCATGTAGGGTCTTGAATGAGGTTTGGCTTCTGTACCGTTCACTATACCTACATCCACAGATGCTGAAAGAGAAATTAGTTTAGGTTGGTCAAATAAGAATTTGACTTGTAGATTTGACTAAATGTTCCTTCAGATCAATATATTGAGAGTAGTGATAGCAATGCTAAAAATGCATGACATCTGCGTTAAAAATGACAATGCAAAAGACATCTGTCTTTTTCTATCGGACTCACCTTGAAGGCTCAGATATGGTAGCAGGGTGACTAGCAAAAGCACACAGACGATCATGATGCTGTTCTGGGAAGGTTTTTCTGGAGTGCTGAAGTTCTCTTCAGTGTTGATGATGGTATTTCATGTAAAGTGGGCTGCATGGTTTTGCCCCTTATAGTTCTTGAACTTCCTCTTTCACAGCTTCATGTGGGTCTCACTTTGCAATGAAGTGGAAAAGATAGATGTTATGTTTGCGTTCTTGATGGGAGTTGACTAATCTGCACCATGTATGATGTAATCCATGCTTAATATTTATTGTAAATTCTGTTAGATGTGAGAAATCAGGTGTGAGCTTGAAACTAACTGTGGTTAGATAGACTTACCAAACATTTGCAGGAAGATATTACAACTCAAATCCCGGAGGCTTTTCACCGTTTTTATTTTATATTTCATTTTGACCTGTCTGAAAAATTGTTGCATTCATAAAATAAGTATGATTTTTGTTGTTGTTGTTGTTGTTGTTGTTGAAACACCACAGTTCATGATATCATTTCTGTTTTGAAATATGTTTTGTTTTTATTTCTGTAAATTTTAGCAACAGTTTTGGGTGTTTCAGTCCCCCCTCCCCCCCTCATTGAGATAAGTGCATGAGTCATTTATGAGGGTGTTGGCGAGGTGACAAAATTTTGAATATAACTGATGCTTCTCATGTGATTTTTTAATGGGTTTATTACAACAACAAAAAAACTGCAGTGTCTCCACAAACCAAAGGACCTCCAGAATCCCCCTGTTAAGAAACACAGATCAACACGTCACCAGTGAAACCATGCAGTTCGTACAAGTTTGTGAATAATTTTAACATTCAAGGCAGGATCCACCACGGCCACACATCATCTCTGAGACTGAGTAGAAATTTCCCCATCTATAGCTACATTCTGTGTTATTCATTAAATACACATTTGCCTCCATTAGTTGGCCATTAGTCTTCAGTCTTCCCCAGCCAGCATCACTACAGACAGTATCTGTTCCCACGTCTTCTTTCTTTGGTAATGATATCAGTCTAACTTTGTTTAGTTTGACTTTTCTCTAGCTGTAATTTAAAAACACAACCATTTTTAATAAACAATCTTTTATAAGACTTAAGTTCGTTGGATTATACGTTTTTTTGTACAGAAGCCCTGAAGTCTAAGTTGAGTTTTTTTTTTTTTTGGTATTACAGGATGTTACCTTTAAAAGCATGATGTCATTCTGCATAGGCCTGGATACAGTATATATTTTAGATGCGGGATGTAGGACTTCACTCCAATGTGTTCTGAACTCTTACCCAAGTCATAGGCACCAACCACAACCATCAGAATCATTTGTCTGTTTAAAAGGCATATTGGAAATGCACATATGTCAAACGATATATTGTATGGTTGCAAAGTCAAAGGAGATTTTAACTCATAAATAATACTTTTCCGCAACAATGTGCAGCAGTCAAGACAAACTGATCAGAAATGAGGAATCCACCGCAGTTATGTTGCCCATTTGTCTGAAGAGAAACCAAGGTCTGGAGTGGGGTTTGGCTTCCCTGCCGTTATACCCACATTCACATGATCTGAGAGCGAGAGAGATCGTGCTGTCAGTCAACTTATTCAGCACATACAAATTAAATACTCTTTTAAAATACATCATCATAATATACTGATATATAATCAATCTCACCAGTGAAGGTCAGGTGTGGCAGCAGAAAGGCCAGCAGGAGCAGAGAGATGATGGTCATGATGAAGATGACATTGAGCTCTCACTGGCTATACACGGTATAAATATACTTTAATGGTGGGTGGAGTCACTAAGGGTGACCATTACTCCACCTCTTTTTAAAAAGAAATAATGAAGTGTGAGCAACACAATGATGATTGTTCTTGTTAATCCTTGCAGTCTCATTTTGAAGCCAAAGATGGTTTGGGCGAGAATAATTAATCATGCCTTTTGGTACTTGAATATTTTGGTATGGAGAAGTAACTGGCCATAGGGGTCTGTGCAGAGGACTTGTCTGTTTCTTGTGGTCTTTGCAAGGGGCGCCTTACGATAACCAGAGCCCCCTGTGCTACAGAATTACGAGAGGAGAGAGCTTGCCATCGCCCCGGAAGTGGAGCCCCAGCGTGGATCTGACCAGGGGAGTGAGCCCGCGGCACCAGCGGCCCAAGGGAGCGAAGACTGAGGACTGGCTGAGGGACTTTAATGGGGACTTGTTGACTCCCACCCTATCCCACCCGGTATCTGAATCTTTATTGCACAATGAGAAATGTTTGGACTATGATCTGTCAGTTGGTTCGGAATTACAGCTGTTTATGGACTAAGAATGATTATTTTCATTAAGGCTGCAGTCCGCAGTTTTTCCTCTTTGTCGCCATCTCTGTTCGAAATCTGCAATTGCAGTCATTCGCGGAATTATCAACTTTACGTGAGTTGTACCTCGGCACGGCACAGCGCGGATGAATCCAATGTTTTGAGGAGAATGTGCGGCTGTCAGTCGCCGCGCCGGTGTGGATACGGTCATTAAGAAATCACAGATTCTACTTTTTGGAAGTATGACCAACATAAGAATTTTCACCCTAAAATGTCATCTGAACTAGTAAGACCATCCACTTTTGTTCTTCTGACCAACTAAGAAAAAAAAAAAAAAACACTGCAGTAAATCACGTTGATTAAATCTAACGATCGATTTTCATATCACGTCAAACCGTGCAAATTATACTTTGTTCTCAAATTCTTAATCTTAACAACATCAGTATTGCGTGACTACATTTAAAGCCGTTCAGATATTGATCCTTGTTTTCGCATGGGCCGGTTGCGGTCTCTTTTTCCAAACTCTCAATCCAAAGTTTTTGCATTTTACAACGGGTGAATCTCCAGTTGTCACTGGTGATTGTCGTTTGAACCTTTCTGGATCCGCCATCAAATTAATAAGTTTAATTATATCAAGTGCTGTGAGAAAAAGATATAAATCTCCACCTCCATCATCCTCACACGCTATATAACCTACTAGTCGAGACTCCTTTATGTGTACAGATGTGACGTAATGACGCAAAGACATGCTCAAATTTCCAACGGAATTAAAAACATTATTACAAGCTTACTGCTTTGAATCGAGCTAAGGCAAGCAGATAGTTTTGAACACTGGCTGGTTATGTACTTGCTCAAATTTATTTTGGATAATTTAACCCAAAAAAGTGATGGACTGGAGCGTTAATCTGCATTGACTGTGTCATTCTGACTGTGACCTTGACAAGTCTCATGTAACCACCATCACAGAGCTCAGCCAGTCATCTAGCCCCATCGCTACTGGATGCTTGCAACCCTGCGCTGTCTCTAAAAAAAAACATTTTACATCTTTGCCGCCGGGATCTTGTTGCCATCCACCTGTCCCCAGTGCTTGTCGACATTTGGAGAATTTGCTGTTTTCAGCGTACCGAATCTACTTTGCATGCACTTCAAAAGGATGAGGGCTCGAATTGATTAGATAAAACAGACACATTAATGTTCGTACCACTGTGTATAAGTGCTGAGGAATCCTCAGGATTTGACATTTAAACATGGTTATAGGTGCTTTGTTACTGACATGTGCGGGAAGCAGTAAACCAATCACAACAGACTGGGCCAACTGATCAATTAGAGCAGAGTAGGCTCTTAGAAATGCGGGGACTAGAGAGACTGAATCTTCAAACAAACCATTTCAGACTCTGGGCACATTCAAAGAAACCTATTTCCTACACTATTTAAGGTAGGGTAGGCAATTTCAGTGCAGTTAGCAGAAAGCATGAAATCCCACCCTTCCTTCAGAGCGCTCTCCAAAGCCACACATTGCAAAGCATCACAAGACGAGAGTACTTGTGTACATACTACAACAAAGTACTACAATAATTAACGTACAGTTAGTAGTAATGTACTAACGTACAATTAACAATTTACAGAGCTCTTACTTGTATCACCTGACTGCTGCAGTTGATTTCAGCGTTGATAGTGTTGACATAGAAATCCAAGTCTGAGAATGCGAACAGCTCCCGTTAGAACGTCACTGGTTGCCATCTCGTAATTATGGTTACGACATGGCAGGAACACAGCATAAGCTTGTTGTTTTGGTTCAGGATGAACTGTAAAAGGCGGCTGCTGTTTGTTTTTGACGTTCTGTGACTAGCTTGGTGACTACAATGCGCTGATGACGTGTGATGTCTGCGCGAGCAGGGTATGCTGAGGTATGGAAATAACATGTTGTACAAACCAGACGATGGTGAGAGGATGGTGACTTGACGAATATTGATGGAGACTTAGCTGGTGATGACTGAAGTGGATTCTCTGTGCAGGTGAACGGACAGGAGACAGACGGAAGACAGGAGACTTGACGATCTCAGGTGAGTGTTCAGGTAAGAAGTCTGACTGTTTACGTAGCACTGAGGCTATGTTTACACGGAAACGATCTGAAGAGAAAACGCAAAAGTGGCGTTATGTTATCACTTTTTATTCTGCGTTTAGACGAGCGTAATGGGTGGGAAATCCGCGTGCATATGGTGACGCAAAAGTGTGTGAAATTCGATGTAGTATGCACTCCAGGCGGCTAGGTGGCAATGTGAAGCACTGCCACACAACAACACCAATATCTTAGAATATTTTGTACAACTGCAGAAAAGACTCTTGTATGTTTTTCAGAGCTGCTAGGGCAACTTGAAGGTCCGACGTATGGAAATAATCTGACATGTTGGTTGTTATTTTCCTGTACTAGCGCATACCTGTGACGTAAACGCGTACGCGACGAGAGCCACCATGAGCAGATTTGCGTTTTTACCGTTTAGACGGGAACGCGACGGTGGAGCGTTTTTAAGATTTCCACTCTGGAGGGTGGTTTCACTTTTTTGCGTTTTTAAGCCCCCAAAACGCCGTTGCCGTGTAAACGAAAGGCACATCCGATAAAATATTTTTACGTTTTCACCCGGAATCGTTCTCGTGTAAACGGGGCCTGAAACATTCGTAGTAACATTGACAAGACCAGACACTGATGTGAGGGTGATGCAGGTTGATAAAGGCTGTGTTGATGAGGGAGTGCAGGTGCAGGGAATCAGTATCTGGTGATGTTCAGCAGCAGGTGTGGTGATGGCTGACTGAGTGCAGGTTGGGACCAGAAGGGATGCTGGAAAGTGTAGTGCAGACAGGTTACAGAGTTGGTGACTGAGCTGGTGACTGTGACATCTCCTCAAGGGCGTAGGTTTAGGGGGGACGCTAGGTACTAGTCCCAATCAATATTTTGAGATGACAAATTTGTCCCCACCAATATTTAGCAAGCTCCTTTGAACTGCTATTTTGATATTTGCGCTGCATTTGGATCTTTGCGCTGCCATTTGGATCGATTCCAACGGCCAGGACGACGACAGTACAAGATACGCCGTAATTTGATTGGCGGCGGGGTATCTGACAGGCAGGCTACACGCGCGGGCCGGGACTACTTTTTGTGCTTGCACTCACTGGCAGCGAGCGAGCGAGCGGGTGGTGTGTGTGTGTGCGCGCGTGACGACGCCGACGGTAAGTTACCAGGGCTGTCTCTGCGTGCCATATACAAAGGCCAGAGTAAAACATTTTAATATTCCGGTTTTTTGCCCCTTTTTGTACTTTGTAGATCAGCTATGTCACCCAAGAAGAAGAAAGGGGACATACGAAGCTTTTTCATAAAGCAGAGTGTAAGTAGGCAAAAATAACTAGCAGTAGTAGTGACTGACCAGGCTTTCAAATGCAGATTCTAGTGGAAAATAGTATTAACTGGTGATCCTGGTTACCCAGGATATTGTTACAGTTAAACCTAGCTTGAAGCTTCTGCAATCTTTCAAGGTTAGGAGCATTAATTAGGGGTGTGCAGCACAGATAGACTCATAGAAGTCGCACTATCATGATAGAATGCTACGTTAGCAAGTCACTGAATGTTAATTAGCCTACCTTAACTTAGAATCTTGCCGTCATAAACAGTGGATCATCTGAGACATTTTTCGTTTCTACATTCTGTTTATGTAATGTATTTGTGAGTGTAGCCTACTTGCTTAGACACATGTGCTGGAAAAACATTTTGGCAATGTTAAAAAGGCAAAAGTTAACACTGTTGGTTATTCAAATATAATAAATCATTATTTGATTGATAATATCCAAAATAACAATGTCTGGTAGGAGGGTTAAACTTGCTAGCCATAGGATAGACTACAAAATTAACTAACCATTTTGTATGCAGGAAAGACAGCATCAAACCACAACAGATTTACATTTATTCATTTAGCAGACACTTTTTATCCAACGACTTACAATTGAGAACAATAGAAATGACAAAGGAAATCACCATTAAAGCACTGTTACTTTAACCTGGCCCTAGCCAGATGAATTTCGCTCCGCCTAGCTTCACTCACATCCATCTGGAACCTCTTCCATTGAGAGTGATTTCTCCAACCAACTTTATGGTTTAGCCAATCAGGACGCAGGGCGGGAGTTTCATAGATGTGACGTAGTGGAGAAGCGACCGTGAGACTATTTTGATTCAGACAACAATGGCGGCTCGCATCGATGAAACAAGCGTTAACATTGATGCTGCTATTTCATCCGTGTTGTCCAATCTACCTAATATTGTTTCATTAAAAGAACATCAGAGAACGGCTCTTAAGGCTTTTGTTGGTGGAAACGATGTTATATAGATCAGTGCCTTCTCCCGACCGGATTCTTCAGCGTCACGGGTTGGCTTCGGTGTGAGTGGTTGAAATAGCACGTCGATAAAGATGACAGACAAGTGGCTTATCCAATCATATGCAAGGATTTGTGATAAGGCCCAGCCTTCTGAAACGTAATTTCAATGGATCGGTTCCAGATGGATGTGAGTGAAGCTAGGCGAAGCGAAATAGCTTTATGCCGAGCGTCACGTGACCAAACCGGAAAACGGGTCTCATTGCATCCGCTTGTCAGAGAAAGTGTTAACGGCCGTAAGAACTAACTACGATATCTATGGATTTTTAAGGTAATCAGCTAACCTACTAAGTTCACTTTGTTATTGGTGTTTTATGCTATTTAAATATCTAAACGTTAGTGTGAAGAAGAAAAATTAAAAAACTTTTAAATATCAATCTGCACATGCGAGGGACATTGGTTATGTCATTTTTGCTTGCTCCTTTTTAGCTATCTTGAGTAAAACCGCAAAAAAATTCATGAAGCACATACAAAAGACCTGAATCGGAAGCGAAGTGATCTGTTTTCCGGCTTGGTCACGTGACGCTCGGCATAAAGCCTATTCATCTGGCTAGGGCCAGGTTACTGTTACTTATCTTACAACAAAATAATTCCCGGCTGGGGGCGGGGGATGTCCCCACCAAAGCTGAGACCAAACCTACGCCCATGCATCTCCTCAGTCATTCTCCATTCAGCATCCAAACAGCGCGTCGCGTTCGGTTACGACAGTAACAAGAGGAAACTCACTCCAAGATCAATGTTCCCATTATTATACTTTATTTGTAGAAAAAGGTATATGTTTTTTTCATCAAAGTACGTTATCTTGCTGGAGTTTATTTCTGTTTCTAGATCATGTCATCCCGGGTTTCAACACTGGGGTAGAGATCACTATGAATTGTTCTTCACGTGCACAGTAACCGAAATTTAAAACTGTTAGAAGAAAAGGCTCAATAAACTGTTGCATAGATATGATACACTACGCATCAATATCTTTTTTTTCCTTGTTTTCTAAACTTTTCAATGCGACTTGCGAAGGGCTGCGCGTAATTACTCCGTTGCTTCAAGCGCATCATACTGCGCACGGGATGCGCATAAGCCGCTCTGTATTGAAACCTTTCATGTTATGCTTTTAATAATTTTGCCCAATGAAAGATTAAGATTATTAATGTTTTTTCTTTTTCTGTCCTGTCTATCGAATGTTGTTGTCTCCTGAAAAAACTGCGCTATACATTTAAAATAAATGTCTTTTCAGTTTATAGGATATGTAAATAGATTGATTTGTTTTTCATCAATGTATTTTATAACAATACACAGAGCAATGTGGAACGTTTTACCTTTTATTCGTTTCAAATTAAATGTTTTTTTTTCACTATAATAACATTTGCTGCTGAATTATCCACTAACCTCATTTATAATAGCATTTTAATGAAACGAGAGAGGGCGTCCACAGTGATAGAAGAGAAGTGCGCTGTGTTGTTCTGTAAGATGTTGCTATTGACGCCGGTCATAATTTAATGTGTTTGCTTTAAAAAAAGTGCAGAGCTGCTAATTTTATTTATTGTTTGTTGATTACCTTTAAATGTTTGCTGTGTATAGCAACCAAAAATGACTAATAAATTACCAATGATTTTTCAGATTTTATTGTGTTTTTCATATTCCACCCTTTTAGAAATTAATTGAATCCCTTCCGTTATTTCTTAAAGCAAGAAATTGCAATAGAAATTCAAACATAGTGTGTGTCAGTTTTGTGCCACTGTTTCCTGATCAGATACTATTTGAACAACTAAAAGTATTTCAGTTCGTTACCCTCAAAGGCATGATGTCATTCCAATTATAATTGAATGTATAGTTTGGATGCTGCATGTAGGATGTCACTTCAATGTGATCTGAACTCTTGCTGTACCTTAACAACGACCGTCAGTATCTCATATCTGTTGAAAGAGGAAGTCATATAATAGTCATTTATGTCATATGAAACACTGTGTGGTTGTACTGCTTTTTTTTTTGTCAGTCAAAAGTGATTTCTAAACAAACTCTTACCGGTTCCAGCAATGTGCAGCAGTCAAGACAAACTGATTAGAAATGAGGAATCCACCACAGATATGTTCCCTGTTCTTCTGAAGAGAAACCATGTAAGGTCTGGAGTGGGGTCTGGCTTCCCTGCCGTTCACTATACCCACATTCACATGATCTGAGAGCGAGAGATGGTTCTGTCAGTCAACTTATTCAGCACAAATGAATCAAACATTCTTAAAAAATCATCATTATATACTGTTAAATAATCAATCTCACCAGTGAAGGTCAGGTGTGGCAGCAGAGAGGCCAGCAGGAGCAGAGAGATGATGATGATGGTCATGATGAAGATGACATTGAGTTCTCATGGCAAAACACAATATACTGTAAAAGTGTGTGGAGTCACTGAGTTGCCCCCAATTCTTTTGACTAAAGATGGTTAAGACGATAAGAATTAAGCATGTATGCATCCATTTTGGTACTTGAATATTTTACACTTCATTCTACATGGTATGCAGATTGATACCCCTTAAAAAAAAGCATAATATCATTCCAAAAAGGCTAAGATTTATAGGCAGGATATACAGGAACAATCCGATGCAGTTGCAGACAGATTTCTCCTTTGGAAATGTCACAATGACTGATTCCTGAAAGATGTAAGTCTTAATCAGCACATACAAATTAAATATTCTAAAAAAAAACTGCTTAACAACATGGCTCTCTAAAATGCTTGCTTCTGATTGGCCGACACAATTCTTCTATAACTGCAAAGTAGTTCCAGGCAAGGCTTGGTGGCATTACAGTTCCATATCAGTTCACCGAATTATTTCAGTTATTTCCAAGAGCTTTGCAAGCAAAAGAATCAAAAGCTGCAAAATCCACTGATCATGTAATTCTCTTAACTTGTTAATGTTTATTTTATATTATCCCCCTACTGTTTTATTTTTGTTTTGTTTTTTATTATTATTATTTTTTGTTTGTTTTTGTGTTATGTTTTCTGTTATTACTTGTGTATTGTTTTAAGCAATAAAAAAACCAAGTCCGAATGATCAGAGGATTATGTTCAGAATAAGATGTCTGTCAACGAGAGCTGCATGTTTTGTTCATCGAATTTAAGAGTTCAAGGAACAATTCTAAATTCTGAATGTATATTTGACACTAAGGACAGTGATGTATTCAGTCAACTGTCGAAGCTGGGTGTAATCATTCGTTTCGGATCTGCCGCAAATGCTGTACAGTGATCATCGTGCACGCCGAGCTGCCCAGCACGAACTCCTAACCTTTCTGCCTCCCTCACTTGGTCCTCCATTAGTGCAACAAGAGGAGACGACAACAACTATCGGCTTTGCATCCCTATCGTTCGCCTTAGCTAACTCATTCACCACTAGCGGAGTGAGCTGGAAAATTAAACTTTTCTCGAACCCCGTGGGGAGGAGGGCCACAACATCATGGCCACCAACAACACTTAGCAAACATTGATCTTGCTCCGGCTTTAACTTCTGTATATTCGGCAGTTTTGCAACAACGGAACGAATAGATTTTCTCACGTCTTTCTCCGCTGCCATCACTGAACTCCAACTCAAACTGACGCGCTACATCAACGTCATCGTTCTCAGCCACTCCATCTGTTCGCTGATTGGTCCTACAAAAAATTGATTTCTGGAAACCTAAGAATATACAGCAGTCCCAGACGTAGTACTGAAGGAAAATTAAATTGAGCGGAAGTGCGTAGGAGGGCGGAGCCAGGCTAACATTTTTGTGGTCAAGGAGGTCCAATAAAATAGGTTCCAAGACTAAAAAACAATAATGTTGTACATAAAATGACAATTGGAGGTGAAGTATGCAATTTTTTATTAAAAAACGCATGCCAAACACACAGTCCATTCACAACTTAATAATTTCTTCGTTTAGGTCTGCTTCGCATGCGCCCTTTACAGCACTGGCTGAAGACGTGGGTCCTGCGTCGAGCATGGACATCCGGTCGTTTACGTCTCAAGGTAACTCAGAACTGTGTCACAGCTCTGGAGCCCTGGAAGGCGGTCGACTGGTATCAGACAGGTGTAAACCTGGGAGTAATCTCTAAACTGATAGTGGTTTCGACAGACGCCTCCAATTCGGGCTGGGGCGCCCTCTGTGAGGGCAGACCGACTTTTGGCCTGTGGTCAAGCCAAGAAAAGAGCTTGCACATAAACTGTCTAGAGATGAAGGCGGTTGAGAACGCCTTGCGGTTCTTCCTTCCCCTTCTAAAAGGCCACCATGTCCTTGTCCGCACGGACAACATGTCAGTGGTTTCCTACATAAATCGCCAGGGCAGTCTGAGATCACGGAACCTTCATGCACTGGCAGAACGCATCCTTGTATGGGTTCAGCGCCCATCACTGGCCCAGACCAGCCGCCCTCTCTATGCTTTCCCTCCGATCATGCTGTTACCACAGGTAATCAAGCCTGTAAGGGAGAACGGTTCCTGTGTACTTCTAGTAGCTCCGTTCTGGCCGAACCAAGTTTGGTTTCCGGAGCTGATGCAGCTTCAGAGCTTGCCTCCGTGGCCTGTCCCGTTGAGCAGAGATCTCCTCTCACAGGCCGGGGGTACGATTTGGCACCCACAACCCGAGCTTTGGGCTCTGCATGTGTGGGCCATCAACGGGTACCCATCAGTCTCCCCGACGGAGTGTTAAACACGATTACGCAAGCTAGAGAGCCCTCTACTAGACGGCTTTATGCTTCCAAGTGGTCAGTGTTCTCAGGTTGGTGCTCAGCTCGCAACCTGGATCCACAAGATTGTGGGGTGTCGGAGGTTCTCTCCTTCCTACAGGAGCTCTTGGATAAGGGTAGATCCCCATCCATGCTCAAGGTATATGTGGCGGCTATTGCTGCGTTTGTCAAACATTCGCATGGCCAGTCACTGGGTGGGAACGACCTTGTAGTCCGCTTCCTCAGGGGAGCTAGAAGGATGAACCCTCCTCGCCCCCCCCCCTCGGACCTTTCCTTGGTCCTGGAGGCCATGAAGGGTGCCCCTTTCGAACCTCTACAGTCTGTGGACCTTAAGTATCTCTCATTGAAAACCGCCTTTCTGGTGGCTATAGCCTCAGTCAAGCGGGTGGGTGACTTACACGCACTTTCTGTTAGCGTGTCGTGCCTTGAGTTTGGGCCTAATGACTCCAAGGTCATCCTCAAACCAAGACATGATTATGTCCCCAAAGTACTTGCCACTCCTTTCAGAGCACAAGTCTCTGTGGATCTGACACCGAGTCTGACATTCTCTCGTCACAGGCGATTTTTGAGATTCGCCTTCGAGGGCCAGGCATATCAATACACAGTCCTACCGTTCGGCCTGTCCCTGGCATCCTGTATATTATGATGTGCATGGACGCGGCTCTCGCGCCCCTGAAACTTCAGGGCATGCGAGCTTTGAACTATTTGGACGATTGGCTGATTCTAGCTCGATCTCATTCAGAGCTCAGAACACAGGACCATATTACTCGAACAGCTCGAGAATCTTGGTCTCACAGTCAATTGGGCGAAGAGCTCGTTGTCCCCCAGCCAGGAAATATCCTTTCTGGGCACAGAGCTGAACTCGCTGTCAATGACAGCGCGACTATCAGAGCGCATACTGAACATTGCGGCACTATAGTCCCGCTCAAGAGATTTCAGAAAATGCTGGGCCTCATGGCCTAATCATCATCAGTACTCCAGCTGGGTCTGCTTCGCATGCGATCTTTGGAAAACAGTCTAGACTAGTCAAACCACGAACGACGTGCTAAGTGAGCTGAACTGTATGAAGTTCAGTGAACTTCTGAACTGCATGAATGGCGTTCGTGGTTTGACTAGTCTAGACTGTTTTCCAAAGATGGCTCCTGTCTGTATACACGAAGTGGACTGTCTTCATAAGATATCTTCTTATTAAACGGTCTGTACACTTACAAAGTTCTCAATGCTTCGTTTTGCATGTAGGGACCCTCATTATGTTACTGTGTTAGTGTGGGGCTATTTTGAGTCTTGTTAGTGGTATAAACTAGCGATTTATTTTTACTTAATAGATGCCCCCATTACTAGTGTTATACGCTAAACAGTTTTTAGAGATAAAACTCTTTACATTCGATTATCATGAAAACAAATCTCAGAGAACGGTTGACTAGGTACCAATGTTTTATTAGACCAAAGGTTCATTTTGCGCCGGAGTTCTCCTTTAAGCCCATTCCCAATGTCGGCTTTTTATATCCCCATATCATATGAACTCAGAGCGCTCGCCCTTGGGTCAGTGTTGTGGTAGATTTAGCACACACAGCGTTTTAAATTGGATTCCCGTAGCGTAAGCTAGCTTACGCAACACGAGAGTACTCTCGTAAGAGATAGTCACGGTTACTAACGTAACCTCGGTTCTCTCTAGAAGAGGGAATGAGTGTTGCGTAACCCTGCCGTGCTTGTGCTACCATCTGGTTTCGCTTCAGTCGATGAAAACCAAGGAGCATCTTATCGAGCTCTGGCTTATATAGGCATAAGCCACGCCCATTCGCCCACACGCCCACTCATTGGTGCTTACGTCACGAGCAGTGCCTCGATAGGTTGCAGCATTTGCCGCATAGCATCCAATAGGCGCGCGAGCTGCCTCGCCTAGGTCTGCTAGCTGCAGCAAGTGTGTTTTAAATTAAAACAAATTATAAGGATAACTTTTGGCTTCAGTATTCTCGAGAAAAGAGGTTTTCCCTCTAAGGTTTTTTTTCCAAAGTCAACTAGCTAGCTATTTATTAGTTATCTAACATTAAAAACATTTTTCTATTTAATGAGAAAGTCATACGAACCTCAAAGTGTTAACCTGTCACCTCTGACCTTCAACAGCTGTCACAGCTCCTGGTGCAGATGGGATGTGTTGTTGCAGGAACTGATATGCTATAGGCTACTCCTGACTGGTCGAAATCTCATGCTACTTAGGACAAATGTAATGTACAGAAGTAGCTGCACTGCTTAAATACAAAATTAAAGTTTTTGAACGAAAATATATAAAGTCACTCTGATGACTTTTTTTATGTGAAATGTGCATATTTACCCCCAATTGTCATGGTATGGGGAAAATGATTATTTTTTAAAGGTGCCCTAGAATGTGAAATTGAATTTATGTTGGCATTGTTAAATAACAAGAGTTCAGTACATGGACATGACATACAGTGAGTCTCAAACACCATTGTTTTCTCCTTCTTATTTAAATCTTGTTTTTAAAAAACACCGCTGAAAAACAGGCGAATCTCCACATAATACCGACTATGACGCAATAGTCGGGATCATTAATATGTACGCCTCCGAAGATTTGCATATGCCAGCCCTCAATGCCAGGCGGAACTGCGCAGCCGAAGCATGGCAGTTGCTC